TGCTGTTTCTCTGCCCCTCCCCATTTGGGTGCAAGGGCAATAACCTTCCTCTGTGCGCTGTCTCAATTAGAGCAACCAACTTCCATCTTACAACACTGTTAATGGCTGCTAGAATCTTTATATACTAAGGAACCAAAGGCTTGGGCTTGTATTTTTAACTTTGTAGATTTACTTTAACCTGGGATATTTCATGTCAAGTTACAAAAAAATGTTAATTTGAAAAACAGTTCACCCAGCAACAACGGGGGGCATTAATTATCAACTATGAGACACTTTCAGAAAAGCTTTGCACTGGCTTACAGGTTTTTTGAATTATAGAGCCAATTAAGGAGTTTGAGCCAACGAGGAAAAGCTGCATGCATAACATTTTTACTCAGTGACTAAGGCTGAGGTTTATGTAAAGCATATTTTCCAATCTACCATGCTCTGCTAAAGTCTTCATACATTTTTTATACGTTACACCCACAAACTCTACCATGAGTTTATTGGGATTTCATATGAAACACTTTCAGAAAAAAGAGATAAGTGTGAAGGGGAAGGTAAATATTAAATAAATTCGGTTTGAGTCTATTTCCCGTAGAACCTGCTCAGCTGGGTTTTATCTCTACATCACTTGTTTATCTAGGGACTAAATGCTGGTGAAGATTCTCAGTCATCCAGGTCATAATCATTCCAAAAAAGTAAAAAAAAACAACCCACTGGACTTTGTGTCACAAACAAAGCCTTGTTTTGGCTTAGAAATATGCATGAAAACATGCTTAGAAAGCATACATTAAAACATCCTAGAGACTTGATGGCTTTCCATTCTCCTTCACAGAATATCTCTTGCTGTAGATTTGACTTTCGATTGTACCTTTGATCCAAACCATTAATTTTTAATTTAGCTGTCTGTAGTTGGTGTATTGGAAGTGAACCTCTGACCCATCTGTTGCAGGTTGTAACAGGGTTTCTAGAGGGATTGCTTCTCGTTATGCGCCATTCATCATCCAAACAACTCTAATCAGCTTCCCTTTACCTTCTGTAGCTAAACATCTCCAGGGCATCATGCTGCCCCAACACTGTTTCATATACTGATATTCTGTCGCACCTTATGTTGTGTATGTAGATTAAACTGTTTCATTTTGGGCTCATTTGACAGGAGCAGCTTCTTCTAAAAATATTGTGATCCGGTAGAACTTCTGACTGCTTTCTCTCTGCAATGGTGTCTCCCTGCCCACTCCTCCATAAAAGCCAGATTTTTTAGACTGTATGACGAATGGTTTTCCTGTTAAAAGACTCTCCCACTTGGGCTGTGCTTGATCTCTGCACTTGACTCATTTTTGCCTGATGGATTGACTGTGAGAAGTTGACACTCTTGGCGTTGTTTTATAACCTAAGGCAAGTATAAATCTGTCCAAAAGTGTATTATCCTGATACACTTTGCTCACTAATGTTGCTCACTAATGTTTGCCTTCACAGAGCAGCTGTATTTATACTAATACTAAACAACTGGACTTTATTTTGTTATCTTTAGATTTGCATTTCTTCAAATCAATAAAAAATATATATGCTTTTCCGTCAATTTCACAGAAATTAATTCCCAGTAAGATACACTTCAGTTTAAGTAACATGACAAAATGAGAACAAAAAAAATGTCTATAAGACAAAAGATTATTTTTTAAGTAGCGAAACTTTTGAACATGCCAGAATTAGAATTGCTAAAGGTTGACATTATGACACCTTCCTTTAATCAACTGGTTTAATATTGTTAGGTTAACGATTTCAAATGAACATGAAATAAATGAAATGTTAACTGATTAGCATATGATGATACAGCAAGGTAAAAAAAAATAGAGATATTTGTAAGTCAACTTTCATCAGCGTAAAATGATCATAATAAAGAGCCAAAGGTGTGAAGTGCTTGAGTTGACATTGAATGAACCACATTTATTAAACAGTAGGAGTCTTGGTTTGCTCAGCCTATTATTCCACCCACTTCTCTTGTTCATTTTCAGATTTATTCATTCCCATTGATATGAATCTCCCACCGCCCTCCTCCTCCTTTCTCCCATTCTCGCTGAGCGGTTTAGATTCAAAAACATAACCAATGCCATTAACCGGGCGTTCTTGTCATCTTTTTCCTGCTCTGATGCAATCTTGCTTTTCATCCATGACGCTGAGTTTTCTTGACTTGCCTTTTTTTTCTTTTTCTTTTAGCATTTCACAACCCTAATTCATCTCCCGATGTGCTGACTTCAGATAAAGAGATTTTAATGCTTCCAACGACCCAGTAAAGTAGTTTTGAAACTCCAGAGTTCTTTGCCAACTCTCCTTTTTCCTCAGTCCACCACTCCCATCCCCTCTAAAACGTCTATAAATCTTTCCCAGTCTTGATCTAACACCATCCAAACTTCTGTTGGCATCCAAATTCTCTCGTTTGGCAGATATGCATACCACCTATTACTCTCTGGGTCTATCTCATACCCACACTCATGTATATAAATGCATATACGTTTATAAAATAAGCAGTCCCTCCAGCTTAAACACATAACCCCCACCAATTTAAAAACAGCGAGTTTCTCTAAACTGCAGAAATTAACCAATTCTGTAATGTAGGTGAGCAAAGTCACGCCTGAGTGCATAAACTATTTAACACATATTCAGAGAGTTGTCGTTGAACCCCCTGGATTCTGGATGGTGGAGGTGGGGAGGGTTGAGGAGGGCGACCCTCACTCCACCGAGGGGGGTTAATTACCACATGTGATCAATAATTCATTACGCTGTCAGTTTGTGTGTCTGCATGACTCTCTATGTGTGCTGGCATGTTTTGAGAGCACGAAAGGCATGAGAGCCAAAACTCCCCCAGTAAGCAGTTTCTTTCCCAGGGAATGTCAGATTAAGAGGATTGACTCCGTAATGGATTAACCTCCAGGGTTTTGTTTGTGTATGCATATGTGCGTGCACACATGGCTGTCCCTGCGTGCGTGTGGAGCGATATGTTTGAGCAGGATCAGAGTACCCCCTGTATGAATTGATTAGCCTAAGAAGCTCTTCTCCTTCCCTTTTAATGACCACATCAGCATTTCCCCCCCCTCAACCACAAGCTGGATAAATGTAGACTTGTCTGTCAAGGAAATGAGATACCACCCCTTTAAGTAGGGTTAGCTGTCACTCAAATATCACTCTCCTGAAGACTCCCCAGAGACAAGACAAACCCTGCTGTGTTGGTGTGTCTTCCGTGATAGATGGTTCCTGAGTCTGTGGGTTATTGCGTGTGGGCTGACTGACCGTCTGTGCACCGTTTATTTGTCAGCTTTTAACTGCAGCCTCCTGCGGTTTCCACCAAAGTCACCGTATCCATTATCTATGCAACTGATATTGTTTATGGAATTAAAGCATAGGCTAAATAGAAGAAAGTCACCGGCTTAAAAAGGAATACCCAATGATCAATTACTCTGCTGTAATAAGGTACTTTCCTCTTTCCTCTGTGTCTTTGTTCTAACTGTTTTTACTCATCGGGGGTTCATTTTAATAGTCTTACACTTGTGTGCATACATGCACATAATTGTGCATGTATGCAAAAGTTCACATTCAGATATCCCTGGGCTGCATTTACTCACGTGCCCCACAGTGGATTTTACTAAAAACGGGCCTAACGTTTGACACTACACACAAGCTCTGACAGCAGCTCGCTCCTCAAAAGCTTAGGATGGTGACACAAACACATGCGGGTGCACATTCTTTCTGACAGCAATTTGTAGAGATAAAATGGTATGTAGACATTAGCGACAGGGTGTGCAGGACGAGTGTCAGCAGACGTGAGAGCAGGAGAAGATGAAGCCATGATGGAAGCTGCAGTGAGTAAAGCGGAAGAAGAGAGGCTGCTGAGATTTTAAAAGGGAGATGGACAATACCTTGCAAAGTCATTTAAACTCTCTAAAATTTGAAAAAACAAACAAGTTTAGTGGTTGTTGTAAACAACCACTAAACTTGATCAAGATAAAGTTTTGCAAAACTGTAAAACAGACAAACTGCTCACTCAGAATCATTGTGTGCATTTGTATTTAGTCTCAGTTACTCTGTTTTCTCTAAATAAAATCATGTGTAACTAATTATATTCTCTAAATTAATAAATAGAGCTCTGCTCTGTGTAACGTATTTGTAGTTTAACCCTGGAGAACTTAAGAAAACATACAGCCAAATGGAAAAATAAAAAATTAATAAAACAGCAGACATGCAAAGCAAAAGTTATTAAGAAGTATACAGCAATGTTGGGCTTTGATGCAATAGCCCTAGCTTAGACACCTCAGATATCAAATAAACAAAATCATCATCATCATCATCATCATCATAAAAAAAAAAAGAAACTGAATCATTACAAATGTAATTTTTAGTAAAGATTCTGCTTTGAAGAGATATTCTTATTTTGTATTATCTCTCTAATTTCTATCAGCTCAGTGTGGGGTCTTTTAAAAAGAAGACTCCATACTGTGGATTGTTTTTGTCAGCACCATTAAATTAAGCAGAAAAAAAAAGGGAGTGAAAAAAAAAACTCAGGTATAAACTAAAGTCAGGGGTGTACAAAATATCTTGCAGTAGATTAAACAATTGGAAAAAATTAGGACATGAGCTAAAAACACAACACAAAAACATCAAAGTTAAAAAATGTGCAGTAATCTTTTGGCCCATACCCCAAATCCTGTGCCATGGAAAACTCATATGAAAAATTACTCCCAGCAAACACACGCTTCCCTGCTTCCCTGTCCCTCTTTTCATAGGGCTCGATAAAATTTCATACCAACTCATCCGTTTGTATCTTTTTTTCAAATATCTAACCACTATGCTATACTATGCACTATTCACCACTAGGCACTATTTGAGCTGATCTCTGGCTAAATATTTTCATGATAAACATTATAGTATATGGTTTTAATGTAAAGTTTGCAAGGCACTGAAAATTGTATCAAAATTTAAATCCATATGGGGAATTCACAGCATGTCTCTTTGGTCAGGACTCCTACCTGTTTGCTGTACTTGTTCGCAGCCTGGCAGCTGTAATCTGAGCACTGGTCTGATCCCAGGGACATGGCGTCTGCGTTGCCACTACCTCCTGTGCTGCTGCTACTGGAGCCGGCACTCCCCACGCATCCACCACTGCCCACAAAGGTGTTTGAGGGAGGAAGCTCCTGGACCGCCTGGTGCTTCTTTCCCTCGGCTGGGGGTGAATGAGGCTGGAGATTCACTGCAGGGAGAGGTGAACTAGATTTGTAGTGTCTGGCCAGATCTGGGCTTGACTGGTGTCTTCTGCCGCCGCCCATTCTTGGGCTACCAGGGTCCCCTTCCATAGCACAGTAGCGAGCTGCTAGGCGCTCACTGGCACTGCTTAGTTCCTCGTCATCATCATCATTGACGTGGCGACGCAAGCCATTGACGGTGACGATGCCACTGTATAGAGACCTGTCTGACTTCCCTACACCTCCGACTGTACTGCCACTGCCTCCGCCACGCTTGTCTCTTCGCGGCTTCCGACCACGGTCGGAACCACTGCCTCTGCTGGCTTGTGGTTGAGCCCCAGAAGGACTGAAGAAGTCTTCCTCTGGCTCTTTTTTACCAGCCTCATAGCCGTTCTTACCCTGAGCGCCACACTGCCTGGCAGTTACCACAAGGAGAATCACCAGGATGACTGCTGCAGCTCCCGCGAGGATGCCAATCGCAACACTGAGGCGCTGCTTTCCAAATGCACGTTCACTGTCTGGGTCCCCTGCAATGTCTAGAGACAGAGGGGCCATCAGGCTGCGGGCAACCTGCAATAGAGAGAAAAAGAAGAGAAATAAGATAAAACCAAGTGCACAGTACTAAAAGCAAAGAAAAATCCCAGAATAACATTTTGAAATGATGGCACAGTTGGTGTGAGCCGCAGAGACACATCAAACAGCATCTTCATCATAATTAAACTTATCATTCTGTTTAGTGTGGGAGCTTCTCAGTTATTCCCAGAAACATAAGAGTGTCACTAAATATGTAATTGCTTTTGCCTCCAAGTTCAGGCATTTCAGGTTGCGCCTGTAATTCTTCACGTTTATTACATCACACAGCGGGTATGAGAAATGAACAGGATTAGACTGCCTTTAATCTGATTTTAAAAATCAGAGGAAATTTTAGACACTGAGGTCAGGAGTAGCTAGGAGAACTAAAGAAGCAAAAACAGTAAATAAATGTGAAAACAAAGGCAAGAGGCAGACAATGACTACATCCTAAGGCACAAACACATCTACTGTCTCATCAATAAACAATATCCCTTTTGTAAGCGACAGTGTAGGCGTGGATTGGTTAAGGATTAGTTTTCACAATTTTTTCACAAAGAATTGAATGGATAGACTACGAGGAGGCTGTTTAAAACATGTAATGCTCAATGTGAGGAATTTTAAGCTCTTTTTCTTTTGTCCATCTTAGGGTCTTCCGTTTGCTCTGTAAGCTAATAGCTTTTTTTGTTATAGAGCAAATCTGTGTAAATCCATTTCAAAATCTGTAACGAGAAGAAATGTTATATAGTGTTTTCATTTGGTGATAAATAACATCCAATTAAGAAAGGATATGGGCCAAACACGTAGACAAACGTTTGTGTTTCTCTTCCTTTAAGGATGCTGTAGTGACTTTACTTCATTTGAGTAATTTTATTCTGCCTTATAATCAATTTATCATCAACATGTACAGTCCTGTTAAAATAAAGTATTTTCCTTTTTGAAAGGTTTTTGCATTTTTGCTTTCTTTGTGTAACTGAAATGTTAACATCAGAGAAAGAAGATTGAAGTAAATTGAAAAGTCACCTTTTAAAAAATGAATATAAAATATAAATAAATATAAAAATAAACAAAGTAATTGCTTTAATCAGTTATTAACAGGATGTTGGTCAAATAAACTTGACAAGCAATATTCCACATTGATAAAAAGAAATTCAAAAGAAACAAGATATAAAATTAGTGACATCTATCAAACTGGAAAAGGATTTAAAAGTCAGTCTATGGCTTTGAGACTTCAGCAAATAACAGTGAAACTAAAAAAAAACAAAACAAGGAACAGTGATAAAGCTTCCAAGAATTTAGAACCCTTTTAAAAATTACATCAGCTAGTCATCTGACTTACCCTCCATATAACCCCAAACCTCTTCAACCAGTAAATCATAAGCAATGTCCAGATATCAGTTTTATACATTAAGCTTAATCCTCTTGATTTATCAAGGACAACAAACCAGCAATTAAACAAAAAAAATGTCAAATGAACAAATTAAAGAATAAACAAATAAATAAATACATAAATAAATAAAATGTTGGTGTTACCTATGCAAAGTCTGGATTTAAATCTGATTGAAGAGGCTGTTTGTGCTCTAAACCCCCTAATGTGGCTGCATAAGACAATTCTGCAAAGAAGAGTGGGTCAAAGTTTTTGCACAGTCATGATAACGGGCTAGAGGTCAATTTTACAAATGCATGATGTAAAATTGACCTATTCTAATGTTCATGGGGAAATAGCTTTTTATATGAAATTTCAGTTATCTGAAAACTGCTTTTTTTTTAAATCATCCCATTATCAGTTTGGTTTCAAAAATTAATGATCTGAACTTTAAAGCAGGGGTGCCCAAGTCAAATCCTTGCAAACCACTAACCTTGCGTCTCTTCCCATCTCTAATGCACCAAAATCACACTTTCAAAGCAGGCTTTAACACTTAAAATCATTTATTAGAAGAAAGTGGGTTCTATTAAAACCTAAACTTGCTCATTGCATGATATTACCTATTCCACTACAAGTGGATTCACAGTTTTGAATTCAGCTTCATTAGAGATCCATTAAATAATTTGCATAAATTATTGTGGAGACACCAGCATGAACTCTTATATTTTTGAACAGTCCCTATTTACTAACCCTATTAATACTAGTCAATAACTGTTATAAATCTAAGCTAAGGTTAATTAAGACAAGCTCAAACCCTAAAAACGATGAGCTACTGGATTAGGACTCGTTTTGGTACAGAATACTCAAAACCCTCAAGAAGATAGGTAACTGTACCAGGAAAGATTGTTAACCAATTCTGTCACAAAAACAAGTAGACACACACAGAGGCACGCTTGTAGACTTGTAAAAGCATCATTAAAAGAAAGTGGGTTATGCTGAACCAAAAACGCACTCATTACACTTTATTGTGACTTTCTCAACAGCAGAAATTGAGGCTGCAGAGTTCTTCACAGAAGATATCCTGTGAAAACTTTGTTCGTTATAATCATTATGAGGACCCCAATATAAACTCAGGCGCTGATGCATATGCATGATCTACACAAATTTGCACCAAGTGTAAGCTGACTGTTCGCTAGACGGCTCATTCTGCAGCCTGCACCTTGTCTGTGAGCTCAAATGACAAAGTCTTTGGCCTGGCTGGGTGAGGAATGACAGACTCTTATAATCCCTGCAGCAAATAAGAGTGCCTGGTAATAAGGCTCGCAGGAATGTACAGGAGAGTGACTGAGCCACCGTACTTTGAAGTGGCCGAGTAAAATAAGTTTTGCACAAGCTGCTGCATTAGTAATACAGCAGAGAATTTGCTTACACGACTGCATCGTGGAACTGGCTTATTATATTATCCGAGACACATACAGAGGAGCTACATTATTGCCCTCTTTTCCTCTTGCTTCCCCCCACAGCTCAGAGTGACACTGTTCTGTGTTCATAGTTTCAACCTCATCTATTTCTGAGTTGAGTTTCATTGTTAGTGAGTTGCGTTTGTTTTAGTCCATTGTTCTGCTTCCACTGCAAAGATGCCTCTCTGCCAGGCTCTGCTCTTCCCATCATAGCCCCGCTACTCCCCCTTGGTGCCTGCAGTAATACCATCTATTCTCATTCTGCTGGGCATCCTCAACGTGCCTTTCTTTTCCCACTTGGGGTGAAAAAAGTGCAAAAACAAAGCTTCACGCACACAGATGCTTTGTGAGAGCTCAGAACAAGTGGAATGTACAGGCATACTTGAAGCATTAATAGTGTAAAAATGTACATTATAGGTATGTACGTAAACTTCTGTGTGGGAGAATGTGCCAAAAAAGTAGTAACACATCAAGGGCCAAGTTCACAAAAGCTCTACAGTATGTCTATAGGCACACTCAGGGAACTGTAAGTTTCCAGTCCTTTGATACAGCCCGGAATCCCAGAGGATTCTTTGATTCTGCTGTGTGTGCTTTCCACTTGCTGGACTTAGCATCTCTTTCACTCCTACTGCAGATACCCGCCATAGGACCAAGCACCACCAGAGCTACACTGAAGATAGAGTAGATATCTGACAGGAATACAATAAGAAAAACAAAAAAATAAATGAACATCTTAAGAGAGAGAGATTACCATCTAAGAATTAGTTCGAAGGGTTATTTCACCGTTTTATATCAAAATCTTAAATGTTTGCTGACCAAAAGTTCTAGAGTTCTTAGTTCTTCTTTTTTGCCTATATTCCCATATAAATATTATACAATAAGTCAGAGTGACCACACTTCCTGGAATAGGTTAGTAAAAAAAAAAAAAAAAATTGGCAAATATTAGAAAAATGTGAGGAGATGGAAGGATAGATAGATGCTGATACCTGAATTGGATATCCGCTGCAATATTGACTAACTAGCTGCATCAGATATCAATGATTTTATATTGGCTACTGGAGATTGAATCAATTACATTTTACATCGAACTGTTATTTCTTTCTTTTTTCTGCTTACTTTTTAAATAAATAATATAAATAAAATTCATTACTGGGTTATTTTGTCAACTTTTAGCTATGTTTATGTCAAGGCTAAAGCCTTCTGTAAGATGGCAAGATATATGGTTCATGCATTTAACAGTTGAATTGGATCGGTATCGGATACTGGTCGATCCGTTCAGCACAGGTATCGCTATTGGATTGGATCTGGAAAAAAATTGATTGGTGGGTGGATTGATGGACAAAAAAGAATGATGGAATACAATGTTAAATAAAATTAGGTATGGGAATAGATAAAAATGCTCCTTACTAGAGGTGAGTATTGGCATGAGTGTTGCGATTCGATACATGTCGCGATACTTGGGTCACGATACGATATTATCACAATATTGCAGTATCACTATATATTGCAATATTTTCCCCGGCTATCAAAATCAAATTATGAGATAAAACAGCAAGTGCTGTATATTTTCATCAGAAAATATTGATTAGGTATTATTATCCATGTTATTAGGGGTTTTCTTCCACTGTGACTGCCTCAAATACAGATTTGGTGCTGCATGCACAGTTAAAGGGCTCCACAGCGCTTTCTGCCAGAGTGGTTGTACAGAGGTAGCCCATTTTCCCATCAATGTTTTATGTAACCATTTTTTTTTTAATCGATACTAAGAAGTGAAAGATCGATATTATATTGGGCAGCCGAATATCACGATATATTGCCAAAACAATTTTTTTCCCACACCCCTACTCCTTACCCTGTTTTTATTACCGTACACCTCAGACATGGAAAAATTCTAATGAAATTCCAGACTTTTCCATACTGCACAGGAACCTTTAATACAAGTACAAAAGCCCCAAGCTACTTATCCATGCAGCGTGGCTTTCATATGCAGAGTTCCTCAAAGGTATCAAAATGACAACAATGACACACAAGGACCACAATGTCAATTTTCTCTTTCTCAAACTCGAAGCCTGCAGCATAATATTACAGATAATTACTAAACATGTGGTTCGCCCAGGACGGTTAGATAGAAAAGAGCAGAGTAATTTTCTGCCACCGTGCTGCAGCAGTAGCAGCCGTTTTCATTCCCTAATTGCATCTGGCATCCGTCCACCACCCAGTTTGACTTCATTATGAGATGGAGGTATTCTGTCTTAAGTGACTTCTACTCAATTACGCCACCAAGTTCCTTCCTACAATCAAACTAAACTGTGCATGTTGTACTCAATGGTGGCTTTCAGACCAGCTTAGCCATATTACACCCTATTGTTTGATTTAATAGCTGCAGCCATTTAGGCACGCTGCAGATAATTCTACCTCTTACTAAATGTTCTCTTCTAATCCTCACATCCTTGATTTTCCTTCTTTCTTCTTCTCAGTGTCACATGCAAGAAGTGCTCTTCTTAATAGCTAGTGATGAAATGATACAACTGCTATCTGTCCTTACTTGTTTCTCTTTATTCAAAAGGAGATTGTGGCATTACTGAACACATTCTCTTTCACTCAAAGGTAACATTTCCTTTAAAGTCTTATTCATGGATCCCGATTACTTCTAAAGCCTACAAAGCAGGTTTTACTCATTTGTGTGTGACAGTCAACAAACTGTACAAACTCTAAGGAGCAAACATATTTTTACATAATTCCTGTGCTCCTGGATTTTGTAATCTTTGCTGCCTTTGGGAACGCCTCAGGGGGTGAAAATAAGGTATCAAGCCACTTCATACTTCAAAAGTGAGTCAATTTTCATTCTACAGTCCACAGCATCACAACAGCAAGAAAAATGTTTATTGGCTGTGATAAAAGTGTTTTTAAACTGTACAGCTATGGTCATTTGTGTGAATCAAATGAAAAGCAACTAAACTCTATTTCTTGTTTTTTTCTTTTTGTCTTAGTTTTACGGAAGGCTATACCTTCTGGAAAAAAAGTATCTCTCTAATGTGAGTTTTTCTTTAAATCTAAGACAGTATTCTTCCTTTTTGTATCCTCTAAAATTATTGTGCTGCAAAGTAAAAAAAAAAAATCCTCGTGTAATGGTTCATCTAATGTTTAAGTTCAAATAAATAAATCATCACTTTCATTAGGGCCAGTTTTTCCCAGGTGTGGCCCCTTGCAAAGACTAACTTCCATCTTTCTTGGTCTGACTTCAGATAACTAACTATAGTGTCCAAAATACTTTAGCCAACCTGACTGAACAAAACAAAGAGCCGTACATCTATGACCACTCTTTTGTCCACTCTTCACTTGTTTCCTGCTGAATTTGGGCTGAAATGTAATATTTTATAGATTGATTTAGGTGTCTAAACTCTATGGGCTCATCTTGTCTGAGTGAGCTGTGTCAGCCCTACACTCCAGCGAGAGCCCTGAGATCAGCCAACCAGTCTGATGGCTGTCCATAAATCCAGGCTAATATCCAGAGGCGATAGAGCTTTACCTGTGGCAGCGCCTGGACTGTGGAACTGTATTCTTTCGTCTGTCAAGTCTTTGCAGCCCTTAGGTCATTTTAAGTCCAAACTGAAAATGTACCATTTCGTCCCATTTTAAACAAAACAAAACTACTAATATGTCCCGAGTAGCATCATTGCACATCTTGATTATAAACTTTAAGCCTTCTTCGGGAAATGGATCCAGCTGAATAAAATTGAATTGTGTTTTTGGACTGTTCAATCCAGATTCCCAAGTGGACAGAGGTCTTAATTTGGACTGACCCCAATAACATCTTCAGTATTCTCTGACCTAACTATTCAAATCTAGCTCTGTTTATACATTTAAATGTGTTTTCATTGAAGGAAGTTGAACCACTATTCAAGTCTTTAAAGGAAAAGTCCGGTCAGCAAGGAACGATCAATGGATCATTATCTATACCTAAAACTAATAAGTTTGCAGTGATTTAATGAATTTAGCATTTATTAGTAAAAAAATTAAAATAATAAAGACTGAGTCATTTTTGCCCAAATATAGTAACACCTCACTCCTGACATCTTCCGGCAGGGGAATAGCATCTTCTCCCCGCCTTACAAGCAAAATCAATGGGAACTTCTATACACACCTGCAATCAACAACAGTTCTTTTGGATTTCGAGAGGACTTCGCCATTGAAATTAAGAAGAGCTATAGCTAAAGTGACAATGCCCACGTGCATGGCAGTTGGATGTTGCAATACATCGGATAAAAGGGAAAAAAAAATTTTATTTCACCTTTCCAATTCATGATCCACCAAGGACGGGTTTGTCATTGGATTGCCAATTTGAAGATGGAGGATTTGCCATTGAACTTCTGGCCAGAGACAGAAACACGTAATATGTAGCCAACATTTCAAAGAAGAATGTTTTCAAGATGACTTTGAATGAGATGAGATATTGAGAGACATTGGGACTTGCTTAACTGCCCATACCACACCATGACGCCATAAACCGGTAGGTGGCAGTAGAGTTCTTTGATGAACTTGGATGCCTCCAGTAAAGCACATTCAAATGAGAACTACTCTTAATTAAAAACACTTATCATTTATTGAACAATATGAAGTCTGAATTCTGAATGTGACTGGACTTTTCCTTTGAGGTTTTCTTCTCAGACTACCTTATATCTCGCTCAATCTATCTTTTCATGCCCTCCCAGTTGAGGTGGATAGCCATATCCTGGAAGATCTGTACCTGTACTTTACTTCCCTTGTCTTTGTGATACTATTTATTCAGTAATTTTCTCCAGAAGTCCAATGAGGGCTTCACCAAACAGCTGGCATGATGGTGAGATAAAACAAATTATAGACAAGTGGACTTCCATGGGTAGTTGAGAGCACTTAATTAAAATAAGGGTTTCTATATTATAAGGAGCTGAATACAAATCAGTACAACCGATTTTAGAGTTTTATTTTTTAAAAGAAAACAATAAAACCTTGAATTCCTGTATTTCTTCTTGGTTAAATAGTTCTTCAATATGGGCTATCACATTAAAAATGTTAATAAGTTACATTGAATTGCACCTTTGTTGAGGATGGCTGTGAGCTAGTAAAGGGTTTATCTTTCTGCATATGTTGTCTGCCAATACCTGAACGTTAACGATCCTCTACTTGGAGCACGCATGAATAAAGTGTTAAAAACTAAGTTTGAAGTGCAACTTGAAACCACTAGCGCTGTGTTTTCAGGAACAAACAAAGGAACTACAAGACCATTGAGACAATTTAATTATAAGTCAATACAAATTACCTGTTTTTCACACCAGAGATTAAGCTTTAGTAACTATAACCTGCCAGCATTTATAGCTTAATTGAACAGTTTTAAACCATAATGGGAGGGAGATAAAATTAATGTGAGGGCAGAGCAAGGGGAAGGATTTAAACAGCAAGGCATAGCCCGAATTGAAACACATAATGTTCTAGTTATTTCTAGTATCTTAGTAATGTCTCTGAAGTTTATCAGTTACCTCTGCAGATGGCATGGATCTAATTTAATGTTGGTTTTCTGTTCAAGAACATATGGACACATGCAATTATAACAGCAAATACTTTTTACGACCCTTTTTGCAAAATAAATATATATATTGCTGAACAAATACTGACCCTGCAGTGTTCACTGCTGACCTCAAAAGCTTGTAAATATTCAAAAATATAGGATCCACTCCTTAACTTTTACATCTATTTAAATGTTCAAATGTACTTCAATATGCTCAGTTACAACTGCAAAACTGGGACAGGGCTCATCTCTTTCCCTCTTGCTTCTCCAAAAGACTTAACCCTAATGCGCCCTCTTTCTCACTCTCTCTCTTACTTTGACACACACACATATACTAACACAGCCACACCTAAAGCTCTCAGCTCTGAGCTCAATGTACCATAAAAAACGAACCACTTCAGTCATAACAGTGATTCTAACCACATACCCATTACAACAATGCATGCTGGACAAAGAACACGCTCCAGGAACTGTCTAAACTACAAAGCAGATTGCCTGTGGAAACAGTGTTCTCTATCTGGAACAAAAACACTGAATTATGTGTCTAGTCATTGTAGAAAATCAGAACACTGTAAAAGCTACACCACTGCAGTTAGCTAGTTATTTCCCCGAGAAACTAAATACTTTGTGCCAGACCAATCATCACCACTCTTTTTAGCAGTCAGGCTATCAGTGTGAAATTGCAAGTTATGACAGAATAGTTACTGAGATAATTTCTTGATAATACTATAAGCTTTTTAAAGCTTGCATGTCTGGGAAAGGATTTCAAATTGGGTTTGTTATAGCATAAATTAATCAAAAAACATAAAAATTACCTGTGCATCCACTAGGGTGGCATTTGCCAAACTCTCATTGATGAAGACGTGAACCAGTGCCGTCGCACAAAGGGAGGGGATTCCACTGTCGTTGACTCGTACAACAAGGCGATGCAAACCTCTGTGGCGTCGCTCCAAAGGTTCTGCCAGGGTGATTACTCCATTAGTTTGGCCAATTTCAAAAAGTCTAAAGGGATTTCCTCCCACCAATGCATAGTGGAGTTCTGCATTTGGGCCAGTGTCTGAGTCTATGGCTGTTACAGTCCTGACAATGGTGCGGGCACTGCTGGCAGGTGGTAGGAGCGTGTAGGATTCATTGGCAGGAGAGGTTATTGAAGGTGCATTGTCGTTTTCATCGGTCACAAATAGCGAGACAGTGGCGGTGGCAGTTTTGCGTGGCTCCCCTCCATCCACGGCCCTAACGCGGAAGGTGTAGGTGGAAAGCTTTTCACGGTCAAAGGATGCAGCTGAAAAGATTGTTCCGGTGTTGTTCTCAATGGAGAATAGCTCTTCTTGCTCGTTTCCGCCATCTTCTCCTTCCACTTTTTCCCCTGTCTTTGTGTCTGCCCCAACCCCATCTACCTCAACAAAGAGGCTAAGCTCAGCATTTTCACCTTCGTCAGCATCAGTGACTGTTACCATGCCGACAGGACTGTTGGCAAGTAGGTTCTCCTTCACATAGAATGTGAAGATCTCTTGAACAAACTTTGGTGCATTGTCATTGCGATCAGTTACCTGTACAAGAACAGTTGCAGAGCCTTGCAAAGAAGGTGTTCCTTTGTCCTTGGCAATTACTCTCAACTCATACCTTTCTTGTTGTTCCCGGTCCAGGGTCCCTGTAGCTCTGATATCACCATTATCTGCATCTATGTAAAAGGGTCCGTTAGACCCAGGATCCAAGGAATATGCAATTTCAGCATTTTTTCCACTGTCTGCATCTGTAGCTACAACAGTGACCACCCTTTCACCAGGTCCATTATTTTCAGCAAAGTGGACCTCCACATTGCTCTGGGCAAAGATTGGGGCATGATCGTTGATGTCTACCACCCGCACCATCAATGAGCTGTTACTGGATAGACTGGGACTGCCAGAATCTACTGCAACAATGGTTACACTGTACTCTTTTGTGGCCTCATAATCCAGCAAGGCTGACGTATGTAAGAAATACTTCTTCTTGTTTCTGTGGAGACAGATGAAAGGAAAGATGTCAACAATACTGAATAAGTAACAAGATAATATCTGTCTTGTTACTTAATGTAGTGAAACAAAATCCCTAATATGCCTCTTTTTGAAGTATTTGACTTTAATCACTTAATTGGTCAAATAATGTCCAATGCTGTTTTACATTACCAATCCTAAAATAGAAAAAACTTTTGGAAACACTGATTTAGTTAAAATTAGGGATTTTAAGTTTCCAACCATGTTGAACTAATTGAGACATTTGTTAATATGTCCTTAATAAATCCAGTATGTAACTGCCAGGAACTGGTCATCATATTTTGATCTTTAGTAATAAACTACAATGTTTAATAAATTCATACAGTATCTATAGAGTTGATTATACTATTCAGTAAAAATATATTTTATTGAGCAAATAACATTAATTTATAATATTTTTAAACACCAAAACACACTGATGAGATCAGAGAAGAGACATTATTAGTGAAATAAATATGACTGTGACTGTTTAACCAGATTACTGTAATCAATTTTGCGTTAGATTAATCCTATGATTTAAGCTTCAGGAAATTTCTTTACAAATGAATATGCAAAGACTCAATATTACAAGCCTCATTGTACAGGTCAACAGTATTTGAGGACTGTTAATAACACAAAGGGAGCTTGACTCCTTCCCCTCACGCCTTTAGGCAATGTTCTCACAAATGACTGAAGAGAATTGACATTTAGAGCCTGTGAGGCAAAAGTGACATTAAAAAATGTAAATCCCTTCACCTGCACAGAATATTTCTAACAGAAGTTTATAGAAGGGATGACAGCCTAACTACTCTGTAGCATTAGCGGATGAGTGACACTCCTTGAACCAAGATCAAATTACATTTTCATATAGTTATTCAAGCACTCTTTTTTTTAAAGAGAAAAAGAAAAAAGAAAACAGGTGGAAGGGTGTAGAAATTATGCTTTCTGTGAGTGGAAACAGCAAAACTTGAGAAAAGAGGTCAGATATATCATCTTTATGTATGCATGACATTACAATTCATTAAAAAAGTACAACCCCTTTTATTAAAAACTTCATTGATGATCTTTTTCCTTTTAGTTGCATGTATGGTAAATAGCGTGAATGGTCTATTACTATATAATAGACCATATATTACTATTATTACTAATACTCAGCTCTAACTTAAACTAGTGGAAAACCCTTTCGGCTATATCAGTTTACAGTATTCAGTTTTAAAACACTTGGTGCCAATTTCAATATGGTATGTAATGCAGCTTTTTCAACCATAATATGTGTAATTCTAAATTTTTCATTAAAGTCCTCATTTTCAGCATTTGTTTAAAACCAAAACCATTGATGGAATGGGTTTTCAGATACACACACTTTGAAATATCTAAGCAGCTTCCCAGGAGATTTATTATCTGTTCTAGACTTATTGATTAAGTGCACTGAAGGAATTAATAGCTGAAAACCAACGTGGCCTCGATTCATCTGTTAGCAACAATTCAGGATGCCCAGATCGGGGATGGCGTTAAGACCTCTGACAGATTAAGTAAAAGTACTGATTTTCTCATTATTGTGGCACCTGTAAGTAGTTGGGATGGATTCGACAGCAGGGGACTGTTGTGTGCTCAATGTAGATGTGTTGAAAGCAAGAGGAATGAGCAAACATAAGGATTTGTGTTTGATTGCGTGCCAAATTTTTATTGCTGGACAAATTCATCAGTAAAAGCAAAAAAAAAAAAAATGAAGGATAACTATTTAACTGGAAAAAGGCTCCTTGTTGCATCATGTCTTATGGAACAAACAAGCTACTCTACCTCATTATAAAAGGTGTTAGAAACCATTTCTTGGTCAATATGTCCAAGCTGGGCATAATTTTAAGCCCGCTTGGTGTGCACTGCTACTTTTAATAGTTACCACTAGTTTGGCTTACCTGTCAAAGGCTTCATCTGCAGGTGGGGGTGGGAGGAGCGTTTCGCCGGCTGGCTTCAGAGTAAATGGGACATCTCCTACGACCGTGCAGGTCACCGCCCCATTCTCCCCCTGGTCCCGGTCAGACACCTGAACGAGAGCTACAGGTGTGTCCACCAGAACATTCTCTGGCACCAGTGCCGCCCCATCCCGGACCAGAATCCGCCCGATCTTTCTGATCTCTACAACTGGAACATTGTCGTTTTCATCCCGCACAGCCAAAACCACTGTGGTGCGGTCAGTCCGGGGAGGCTGACCCCGGTCCCTGGCCATCACTGTGAACTTCAGCTGCGCCACCTCCTCCCTGTCAATCCTGTGAAGAACACTCAGCCAACCAGTGGCCTCATCCAGGCGCAGAAGTCGCCTGACATTCTCAGTGGCAGCTCCAAAAACGTACTCCACCTGCCCATTCACTCCGATGTCTCGATCAGAAGCTCTGACCTGGAGAACAGGTGTACCAGGAGGAGCATTTTCAGTCATCTCAGCTTCATATGTGGACCTCTCAAACTGTGGGCTGTTGTCATTCACATCAGTGATAGAAACCCGGAGCAGAGCCTGAGAGGAACGAGGTGGGTTTCCTCCATCTCGAACTTTGAGGATCAGCTCATATGAGTCCTTCTGCTCTCGATCCAGTGTGCCCTTCACGATGAGCTGAGGCTGCTTCTCACCATCTGGTATGTCCGCTACTTGCAGCTCAAACACAGTGCTCCTAGCTCCTCCTCCACTATCACCACTTCTGCCCCTGCGGTCAAGTCCATCCACTCTAGTAATGGGGTTTCCTCCTACTGTGCGCCTTGTTGAACTTGACCCAGCTCCATTATCTTGGATAAGCTCGTAGCGATCAATGCCATTCCGCCCAAAATCCCTGTCAGTGGCAGTTGGGAGCAGGTACAGAGTGCCAATGGGGCGGTTTTCCTCCACAGAGAGCTGCAGGACAGGTGAGGGGAAGGAAGGCGTGTTGTCATTGATGTCTGTGATGACAACTCTGCCTTCAAACAGATCTACCCAGCTCTGCAGAGGCCCGATCACTGACACCTCAAAGTCCAAGAAGCAGTCATTCTCGTCAAAGATCATCTGACACTGTGGGAGCTTCTCTCGGTCTATGCGTCGCGGGCCTGTGGTCAGCTCACCTGTCACGTTGTCAATCTTGAAGTACTCAGAGCCGCTCTCCAGGGCGAAGGTGACATCCCCGCTGCCGGTGCCCGCTGTGAGGCCCAGATCGGTGGCCACGCTGCCGATTCTGACATCCGGCGGGCCCTCCTCCGCCACCCGGTACCGGAGAGCTGAGTCTGCAGCCGGTAGCTGAGTCAGCAGCTGCAGCAGCAACACCACTAAGTGCACTGCACCAAGCCGCGGCATGGCTCCTTCTTGCTTTCTTCCTCCTCACTCCCCCAGCGGTGGGCTCCTCTCTTAGTTTATTGGTGTTTTGCGGTCTGGTGCAGCTTCACAGCGTGGGTGTCTGATTTATCCTTTCTTACCTTCTCTATCGCTCTCTGCGGACTGGAGTCCGGGAAAAAAAAAAGCTTTAGTGTAGTTCACTTCAGGAGATCCTTTCTTTCTTCTCTTTTTTCCCCAACTCTCCTCCTACACTCAGTGGTGGGTTTTCAACTTCTATGAAATTATTTCTGCAGTCTTACTCCCATCTTTAAGGGTGTAAAAAAAAATCCATCCTTACTTTGCTGTTCTTCAACCTTTGATTAAATCCGCTTCCCTCTTTAAACCGTAGAGCTATCCTGAAGAGGCTCTTATCAATTCATAACACCCGTTGGGAAGTTATTTTGATTCCGGTCACATTCGGGACAGAGGCTTTTCACTTAGAAACTGCAATGCAGCACCACTACACAAAAGAAGCGAGAAAAGATAGGGATGATTAAAAAAATAGAAACGCTGATCAGTTCGGAAAAATAACAAATAATAATAATAAGCTGAATTATAAATTCAAAGCTCTATTTGCTGCTGTTGAATCTTTATCTTACCTTCTAATCCAGGCGCGTTTCCCGCAGTGGAGCAACGTGCCAAGCGCTCAGATTCCTTTACGCAAGTTAGGAGAAGAGAGCGACTTTCTTCAAAGCTTTTCTCCTCGCAGAAATAAAAGGAAAAAAACAACTTGTGTCTCCCCCTTTTTTTGGAGTTGACCGCCTCCCCCAATATATATCAGTTTGGGAATAATCCGTCCTCTGGATGGAGGGGTTGATGGATGCAAGCTTGCAGCGGCGGTGGACCGAGAGGAGATGCGGCTTTCTAAGAGTCCCGCATTCTCTCACTCCTCCTCCTCCAGCTCTTTCCCCCTCCCTCTCACCTGCGATGCTCGGGACTGCTGCTGCTGCTGTTGCCTCCCCTTCAATGCTGCAGTCTCTTTCTCTCTCTCTCTCTTAGCGCTACTGCAACATTTTCCCCGGCCACGTAACTCGATCCATGAGCTGTAACAGGAGAGGCAGCAGAGGCGGTGCTGGGTCTCTCTCTCTCTCTCTCTCCCTCTGTCGGCTACCGTTGACAGACCTCAGCCCCCCTTTCCTGTCATAGGAAGATTAAATGGCTTTGCTGTCCCGCTCGTTGACAGCTCCTGGTGGGGAAATATCTTTATTCACATATTCATACAAGGGGACAAAGAGCGACGGGGGAGAAAAGGAGTGATCTAAGACCAGTCAGCGCATGCAGGGTTCAGGCAGATTTTCTGCTGTTGCAGCTCTTTTTCTGCAGGGGCAAGTGGAGAAAAGCAACATGCAGCGTGCGTTCTTTATCAAAAAGTATATATAGTTTGGTGGGGTTTTAAAGAGATTGCCTCCTAGAACAGGTTTAGGAGAGGACTCAGTAATAGATATTGACATTTAGACAAAAAATGAAAGAAAGATGTAGCAACTCTTCCGTTTTTGAATCACATTTAAAAATACATCATTCAAATAAATAGCTACCATCACAGTTGCTTCATGTTTGAAAAAATTGCTACTATTGCAGTGCAAAAAACTGAAATCTATATACGTTTTTTTTGTTCTTTAAATAAGTGCATTTGTTCTTGAATTGAGGGGTAAGTGAGAAACTTTGCCAATGGAACAAGACAATTTACATAAAAAAAAAAAATAATAATAATTGCATTGTCTTATTAAAGTACATATTATCTTATTATCTTATAATAAGAGTAAAAATACTGATTCCATTGGCAAATCATCTTATTTACCTACTGAAATTAAGGCTAAATACAATTAATTTAAGAAATTTGTACTTATGTCCAGTGGCAGTTCTAGACCAAATGTTCCAGGGGGCCAGCGTGACTTCATGGGGCCCAAAAAAGCATGAAATAAAAACACAGGGCAAGGGATTCAATAATATAGCTCCATGAAGTTAAATCTCTATTCAATTATGTTTAATTGAAGTTATTTTTTATTAGGTCAATATACATTCATAATTTAGGAATTTTACATATTTTTGACTTCTTTTTTAAGTTAAAATTACTGTTTTCTATAAAATCAGAATTAGAACTCATGAAAAACTGATAAATTCAGCCGTAAAAATAAGAGCAATTTGTTTTGAAAAAAAAAAAAACATTTTGCAGATGAAAACTGAAATCTTATCTCAGTACCTATCACCTTATTGTTTTATTTTGTCAAGAAAAAAACTAATGAAATAGATCCAAAGGACCTATCAGCAAACCATGTCTATTCCAGCGCATATCTCTTTGAGTATAATGTCTTCAGTACAGGGCCTATAATAGGGGCCAGGACATGATCTACTGGGGCACTGGCCCCCCGTTGACCCCTGTCTAGAACCCCCCATGCTCATATCTAGAACGTTTTTGCAGCGTAGACCCATGCAGATCAATTAAATGATGCATCTCCTACTGAATATAATAATTCTAGTTTAAAGCATGTAGGTTTTGGAAATGAGAAAAACAGAGCTGTGTGTGATCTTCCTTGCATTGGTCTTACGTAGAATTTACAAAGATAAAAATATTTCTACATATTGATTTTGTTGGGCTTTTATACGGTTCACGTTACTATTCTACGCCATTTTCTCAGAGTATTTGTAGTCGGAATGATTTGTATTCAGACAACGTTTTGTTCTCTTGTTTCTTTGTGTGCAGCAGTATCCTCCACCTCCTCCTACACACTGCTGAGTGGATGTTGTCCCTCGGCGGACCGACCTGCTCTGGAGGAGCGCACTGCAGCAGCGGTCTGCTGCTATCGAACACTACCTGTGTTTCCACGCTGCCGCTCTGTTCAATCTCCCTCCCTCTCCCGCTCCCACCCGCCTACATATCTCATTTTCAAGCTGGTCAGGTTGTGTAGTGAGAAGTGCAAACTAAGCCAAGTTTGAAAGCAGGGGGTTCCCTTCCAACATAATGGTATTGACGGAGAGCGCAGTGTGCGCCCTGCATGGCGCCAGTCAGCGGTTGTGTCTGCCGGACAATAAACAAGTATCAGAGGATGTTACAGATTTTTTTTGTGTTTCCCCTTCCCATTAAATGATCCTTGCTGTACATTTCAAAGAGTCATTTTATCTTATAATGTTGTTTTTTGGTGCTGTTTCCCCAAAATCTGTCCAACACTTGACCTACTTGGAACTTTACAACAGTTTGAACACTTTATTTAATAATAAATGTTAACTTTGGTTTTTGCCAAACATCAAGTTTGGCATTTTTATATGTTTCTTATATTGGCTATATCAAAGGCAAGCGTTTTAGTAATAGTAAAAAAAAATCCTAGCTTACTGAGCCTGACAATTAACACCATTGCTGTTTTGAGGAAAGTCTGTTTTTTAAATCATTCTGTAGGGTAACTGAGGCTAATCTATTCGCATTTTTTGTAAAAGTACACATACTCATTGAACTCTTTAACATTTTGTCATAGAAAGTCAAACATCGAAGTTTCTGCTGTAATTTTATGTAACAGACTAATTCTAACCAATGTGAAGAGGAAATAAAATGCTAAACGGTTCCTTAGGTATCGTACAAATAAAAAGAAAGTTGTAGTACGCCTTTTTCTGTAGGGATACCCTTTTCCTTGGAGTAATTGAGATGAAGATGTAGAGTCCATTGGTTTTACCACATTCTAAATGTTTTGGAAAGGCTTTAATTTGTATGAGCTGTTTTGTAATGTTGTTTTTTTTCTTCAGATTTTTTTATAGCAATTCTGCTTGTTTGTGAACTTAAGGGCAGCTGATGGTTGAGAGAATCGTATTATTTTGCTGTACTTTTAATTGATCAAGAAAGAAAAGATGAGTGATCTAAAACATGTATATCCAAGCTCAGCACTGAAGCCTTACATTGAAACTTTATGAATTTGAGAAAAAGTTAAGGGTATACTCAAAAATTCATTTTAATAACTTAAAAATAAAAAAAAGTAAGTCAGTTGATTAATAATAATGGAACTTTATTGATCTCGAATTGTAGAAATTTTCGTCTGCATTTAACCCATCCCTTTAGGGAGCAGTGGGCTGCCACTGTGCAGCGCTCGGGGAGCAGTGTGAGGTTAAGGGTCTTGCTCAGGGACCCAGAGTGCAGGCTGTGTGGATCGAACCGGGTACTTGCAACCTTCAAGCACACGGCTCTAACTGCTAGGCCATCACTCCCCATTATGGGGGTTTTCAGACCAACAACTGCTGTTTAGGAATGAACACCCTGTACAAAGCCAATATATGAGTTTGAAGAATGTTCTAACCATCCCAAAAAAATTACACTAAATAAGATTTAGCTGAAAAGTGAATGACACAGAAATGGAATAAATGGAAAAGAAAACAAACAAAGCATGCATTAAACCAGGCATCCCCAAACTCGGTCTGCAAGGCCCCCTGTCCTGCAGGTTTTAGAGGTTTCCTTGCTCCAGCACAGCTGATTTTAATTGAAAGCTGATTAACAGGCTTTTGGTCTACTGCAATCATTATAATCAGCTGTGCTAAAGCAGGGAAGAGGACCGAGTTTGGGAATGCCTGCATTAAACTAAGTCCACTGGCAACATACACAGCATATATCAAAAGAAAAAAAGTGCACCAAACAAACTTATAAAACATTTATAATCAATATATTCAGTGCTTGTAATTTACTAAGGTTAAAAAAGGTAACCTCTTTCAAGCATTCATAAATTTCAGCATATAGCCTAGGCTTAGAGATGTATTTTGGTGCCTAAAGAATAAATCTATTATCAGACACCACAAAACAACGTTTGTTACATTGCACACATTTAAAGGCAGCTGTTGCCACCAAGGGTAGCACAACCCTCATTAGGCTTAGCTGGTAATTACTTTTTAGAACATTTCATACTTTTTCATTTTTATGAAGGAAAGGTCATCAGAATTTTTTTTTTTGTATAAAAGTTATCAATCTAAGGTATTAACTGTAACATAAATAGATTAGAAAATAATAAAAGAGCATGTTTTCACATTGCCTTAATTTAATTTGTTGATGTCATTGTAGTAATTGTTATAAATGAGTAAAAATCCTGGCTTATAACTGTTCTGATTCATAAACATAGTGAAGATATGAAATAGAAAGGCAGCCCTATGGTTTAGGTTAGATCATCTCACTTTAGTAAATTTAGGTTATTTAAGACACATTTGACCCAATAAAAAAATCATCAAATGAAAATCTGTTGGCCTGAGCATGCCGTTATATCCAACCCATTAAGATATAATTGAGCATGAATCCCCTTTCATCAGCAAATGAACTGCAGTTTCAATTTGCATATTGAATTAAAAATGATGTGTGCTGTGTTTGTGCGTGCACACCATGCTCGTGAGAGCTCTAGTTAAAGACAGGATGTTCTTTGGAGATAGACCGCCTCTGCTGACCTCCAATTCAGCCTAAAGGCTTAATCTACTGTTTGTGCACCACAATAGCAGATCACAACTTTTTAAGTGGTACAGCATGAACAGGCAAACAAAGAAACTTGGGGAAACAGCTGAACAAACAGCTGTCCTGTTGAAGGCAGCTGAAAAGGATGATTAAATAAGAGATAAATATTACATTTATGATACCGTAAAATAAAAAAACAACTACACAATTTTCCTAAATTTTGCATAACTCACCTTCAAAACTCTATCTAAATACATTTCAATGGAATTCATCCATTGCCAATTATCCTTGTAGAATATTTCTTGTTTTTTATGGTGCTTCCTTTTACATAAATGAGCAACTATGAGCAAGATATTTTGACTGTTTTTTAATGTTTTTTATGTTTAGTTAGTTTTCTGGTCTTGGATGTGTCAAGAAATGCAAGCTTTATTTTAAAACATTTGAGACAGATTTAAATGATAATATTAAGCACAGTGTTTTTTTTAGAAAATACACTGCAGCAGAAAAATTTTTATTCATTTAATTTGAATCACATTTTGTCTCATTACAACATTAAACTTCACTGCATTTATGTGGCTAAGATGTGACAAATTATTCATTGGTTTATACTT